CTTTCTAAATATACAATTTTTTAGAATTAAAAACTAAAAAAAATCATTTTAGTTTCTAATTTATGTAATTTCCAACCTCATAGATTAAAAAAAAAAAAGATGTGCTAGAACTAAGAGAGTGTGTGAGAGAGAGAGAAATAAAGCTTAGTAGTTAGTACTGTCATATAATTATGTTGTGTTGTGCCTCTAATTCCTATATGTTAAATCTATTTGCCAACATGAAAATTTTTTTTGGGGCTTTGATGTAGGTGTAACCACTACTTCACTAGAACTTCCTCCCCATCTTCCTTCAACACTTCACACTCATCCCATGCAAACACATTTCAAGAATGGACACTTTAAACCCAAACAAATCTCAATCTCTTAGCAACATCTCAAGCTACTCTCACTCCTACATGTTATTCTCAAACAGTCAAATATCAACCATTACATACCGCCGTATCCACTGATTTCTTAACACTTCAAAAACAGGGCACATGGTCACTCGTTCCTGCTCTTGCAAATAAAAATATTCTCGGTTGTCATTGGACTTTCAGAACAAAACTTAAAGCTAATGGCAATATTGATCGCCACAAAACATGTCCAATAGCCCAAGATTTAAATCAAGATTATGATATAAATTATAAAGAAACATTCAGCCCAGTAGCAAAAATGCTCACCATTCATTTCCTTCATATCATTGCTCTTCATCAACAATGGATTGTTCTACAGTTAGATGTCTCCAATGCTTTTCTCTATGACAAACTTGCCGTTAATGTGTATATACTTTTTTACCTGGTCATGTATGTAGATGACTTACTCAACACTAGAAATCATCAACCAACAATTCATATGCTTATCTCAAAGCTGCAATCTTTCTTTTCTCATAAAGAGGGCTAATATCTCTTTTTTGGGGCATTCAGGTACTTCACATCTCATTTGGCTATTCCTAAATCAATCACAGTATGCCCGAGACCTTCTTACATCCTCTGGATTTGCCACCTGGAAACCATCTCATACTCCAATGTCTCTTAATCCATATCAATGTCTACAAGCTAAGCTCTCTTGAGTATCTTAGCATAACATGACCAAATATTTCCTTCGTCACAAATCAAATATGTCATCATATGCATAATCCCACAAACCAACACTATCAATCTCTCATAAGGCTGCTATGATACATTCAAGGCACAGTTCACTTCGGGCTCCCCATCGTTCAAGGAAAAATTATTATTTGTGTGTCCGGATTCGTCCGGAGACCAATAAATAAGCGTCACGTCGCCCCCAAAAAAGTACCGCGCTCGGTACCTCTCGGTACCGAGCGCAGAACCAGACGGTTCTCCCGTCCGGTGTCCACATAGAATAATTCCTCTTATTCAAGGCCATATCTAACTGAGACCATACTCTGATTCTAAATGGGCTGCTAGCTGCCTCTGATCAAAAGTCCACCACTGGTTTCTGCACTTTTCTAGGCAACACATTTGCGTCTTGGAGTGTCAAAAAGCAAGTTACGATAGCAAAAACATCTACTAAAAAAGAATACAAAGCTCTAGTCTCTGCCACATCGGACAAACAATTATCTCTAACAAACTTGTTTCCTATACTTCCATATAAATCATAAGCTCTGTAATTTGTGTACAAAAATACTACAGTTACAAGTAAAAAGCTTTCTTCTCTTTGTTCCTCTTCTCTGTTACTTCCTTTCTTCAATAAGTGTTGTAATTTCCTTAGTTAAGGAGGTTGAGGAAGTTGAAGACCATGCGGGACGCTTGTGATCATCACAATTGTAGATGAAGATTGGAATCATGGTAAGGTTTTTAGTATAAGTGGCTAAAAGTCCAATAGTAGAACTAGAATGATTTCTCTAAACCAAATTCTACTCAACTTTCTCTTCTCCATACGGCTGCTTCTACTTCCCTTCTCCTTGAAATACTCCTTTGCTCGTCACGAGTATCATATGGGAAGTCAAATCGTATCCACAGGTCGGATTCGGATCCAATCCAACTCTGATCTGACATATTTTGACATGACCCAAACCCAACCCAATTTGGAAATCAGATTACTTTTCCCAACCAAAACCCGACCTGATTCGGGTTCAGGTCAACCCGACTTGACCCATAAGAAATTAACTCGATGAAATCGACGACCGTAGCTTTATTATGTTTGCACTTGTATTCAGCCAAATCCCGTAAATCCGTTGATGACGGCAGGTGAGGCGACATAGCGACGGAGGACGGCGGTGCAACGACGGCGGCAGGCGAGGTTAGCTTAGGTTGCGTCGGTGCGAGGTTGACGTTGACTGGTCGTGTTTCGTGCATGCCTGTCCGATTGGCTCCTGCCAGTCTAGCTGTCTAGGCTAGGACTTGGGTCTCGCAAGAGGTGTTGACGCGGCACGGTGACATGTGAATGTGGATCGGCCGACGGCGAGTGGGCAAAGTAGCAGACGAGACGATGTCACGCACGCGACATCCATGTTCCCGGATTAACCATGATTGATTTCGGGTTTTTGGGTCAACCCGACCAGGTTTTGCAAATTGGTTGAAAACTCATACCCGACCCATATGGAAAACGGGTTGACCCAAACCCTTTTTTTTTTTTTTTTTTTTTTTGAGTTAGGTCTGAGTCGGGACAAATTTTGACACCCCTAGAGTATCGTGTGTGTGTGTGTATATATATATATATATATCATTCTCCGTGAAATCCTCCTTTGTTCTTCGCGAGTATTGTGCTAATTTCTATCGATAAAATCTACTTAAGATAATTTTTTTCATATACTGATCCATTTAGCAATAATCGCTATATTTCAAAACTTGAAGAAGATGGGCCTTAAAAGAGAAAAATCTATCTATCAAAGAAGACATTCTTGATAAACTGCACTGAGCAGAAGGTAACAAAAGAATTTTACCCCTTCATTGTGATAGCACATTCTCTTTTTTAGCCCATTCAATTCAAATATAAATGGAATACCTCAAAGCATGCTCCTCAAATCAAACAAAGTTTGTCTATTTTGATCCTTAACATTCAAATTGATAGCTTTCTTTGATTCACATAAGGGAAAATTTTTGTTGCCGCTCTAAAGAATGTCGTCATCGAAGTTAGGATGTTAAACTCTCTATATCTTGATCATCCTGTATGTTCCAACACGCAACACTCCTAAATAGTTGTCTGCAAAATTTTTTTCATGTGTTTGCATGTTTAGGTAGCACAAAGGATGGAATTCGACAGTATTACATTAAACTCCCTCCTTCTCTCATTCTTAATACCAATATATTGATACTTTGGCTCATAATTACTTTAAATGATCAAATAAATATTTTTGTATCATTTGCCACTTTCTTATGATATAATATTTTGAGTTAAAACTTAAATCATTTTAGTTTCTAATTTTGAGTACTTTCTAGCCTTATGAGTAAAAAGTTTTTTTGATGGATTAATACTAAGTAGTTTGTATTGTAAGTAGCATAAAAAACCAAATTTTCAGTATAAAATTTGTTTTAAAAAATAACGAAAAAAATAATAGCCAAACAAAATTATATTTATAATATTATAAAGCTAAATGAAAAAAAATATGTCTCAACAAAGCCCTAAGTGAGTGAGAGAGAGAGAGAGAGCTTAATATTACCATATAATTTTGTTCTGCATCTAATTCCTTTATGTTAAGTCTATGTGCCAACATTTGAATTTTTTAGGGCTAATGTGTAGGTGTGTAGCATTACTCATATCAAAAATTAATATTTATATAAAAATTCATGAAAATCAATATTTTCTTTTTCAAACAAAAAATACATTACACTTCAAATATTAATTAGCCTTTGTAAATAAATAGATCCTAAATAGATTTTTTTGTGGGTAAATTTATTTGAAATGTATAACAAAAATACTCATAAGTTTATTTATATTGCCTAAACTCAGCTTAATTACTATTCTAATAAGTAGCTAGTGCTAAAATAAATTATGAATAATCTAAACTGATTTGTTATTTGAAATCAATTACAAACCAAAAAGTATTGTTGCTTATTCTAATGTCATAAATAAATAATCCGAGGTTTTGTTTGAGGCTATTTTTTAAAGAAGTTTTTTAATACAAAAAAAATTTAATTTTTATACTTAAAATATGCTTTAAGAAGCAGCAAAAAAGTCATCCCAAATAAAGCTTAAAACGGATTACAATTTTATATAGGTAGGTTGTAATAACTTATCTAAAATTAAATTCAAGGAGAAAGACAAACGGAGCTAAGATCTAAAATACTCAATGGAAACTTAGGAAGGAAAGAGAATTTGATGTGGGTCATATTTAATTTAGACTGTATTAATTTATGTTTTTACAGAATATTTTAAAAATATGTGTAGGTTGATATAAATAGCGCTTGAACTCATAGCAGACTAATTTAAAATATATTTGAGAATTCTGATTGGGCGAATGCTTATATTGTCAAAAAAAGAAAAAGAAAAATATTATGTGTGGATGTCAAACGTCGTCCGGAGACCAATTAGAATGTGCCACATCATCCATTTGCTTGGTACCACAGCTCAGTACAGCTAGATTTGTTGCACCTGATTCACCTTCGGATGTAGAGCTGCATGCGATGTCCACACAGAATAATTTCTTAAAAAAAGACTACAAAAAGTCTCATCTTTATTTGTTGAAAAGAGGCCTCAAATGAGATGGTCACATTGACAGAAATTACTGAGAAAAGCAAATTATTTTATACAAGATAGTTTAATCTTACATTGATTTATTATTTGAGATTTTTAGCTATCAAATAAAAGATTTTGAATTAAAAATTTGCATATATGAGTTTGACTTTGACTCAGAAGTCCAAAAAAAAAAAACAGAAAATTTGCTCTTTAACTACAAATCAAGAAAATATGAACAAACAAAAAGAGGCTTTATAAAATATTACAAGTTTACAGCAAGCAAAAATAAAAATTATTTTGATATAAGAAAATAATTTAGGATATCTCATCAAAACTTTATTGAGATAAATTTTTATAATTATTAAAATTATTTTAGATAAATATAATATAAAATTTTTAATATTATATTCATCTGAAAAGAAATCTAATAATCTGATAATCGTCATGATTAGATATCCTGTTTTTTTTTTAAACCACTCAGAATCTCCGTTTCGGCAAAGAGGAATCGCCGGACACCTTATTCTTGCCTCGAATGGCGGGGCTGAGGTCGACGAAACTAAGCAACCCATGCCTCTGAAAAGGCAGAGGCGTTTTTCTCTTCCGCTCCTCCGCCGCCGCCCGATTCGCCGTGTAATGCTTCTCATGTGCCGATACCGGCGGCCGACTTCCTCTTCTAACCGTCTCACCGCCTCCCGTCTTCTTTTCCTCTCCTGCTCTCTTATTATTCAACAAAGAAGCAGAGGGCAAAACAGTATACTTCTGCAGAGGATCTTTGCTTCCTCTTCCAGTAGCTCGCCCTTCCGACGCGCTCCTAAACAGAAGCAAATCCTTCAGTCTGGGCCACTTCCTGCTTAACCCACACTTCACGGGATTGGCCGATGGGCTTCTATCTTTCGCGAGGAGTCCTTCGTTTCTTAAAGGAGAAAGCGATCTTGATTTCCTTCGCCCGTTACTCAGGGAATTTGGGGCCAACAAACTCCGGCCTCTTTCTTGCAGCGGCCGGATTCTGCCCTTCTCAAAGAGCTTATCGGCCGTTGTTATCTCCGGTGACAGGCGATGACGGTAGTTGCTCGGAGAAAAAGCGAATTCGAACATATCGCCACCGTTATCGTTACGGCTGCAAGGGCTGCACTGGGAGTAGATGGCCGCGGCTTGGGCTGGGCTGCCTGGCGCGCTGGTGTAGTGATATCGGTAGTTGAATTGGTCGCCGAACGGGAACGGGCTCGACGGAGCGCTTGTGTGAGCAGAGAAGATTGTGTTGTTGAAGTGGAAGTCCGGCGATCTAGCCAATGGTGCGACGACCTCCATCTCCGACGTTCGCTGATTGGACAGTTCTGATGGTTTTGGAGACTATGGAGATTGGTTTGGTGAAAGGAGGTGTTGTTTTATACAAAAACTTGGGTGGGCGGTAGGAATATCTGCGGATAATTCATTAATTGAACAGCCAAAATGCCTAAGCAATGGGAACGCTGAAGTAAGATACTAAGATGTTAGAATATTAGAGGACAAAGAAGGAAGCTTCAATCAATTTTTAATTTCTTATTATAATTATTAGTTTTTTGAGACATTTGAGCTGTAAAGATTTTAGAAATGTATTTCTTAAAAAATAAAAATTTAAAATAGCTCTTATGTTCAACACCAAATCAATAAGTCGAAAATCATTAAAAAAAAAAGTGTTAAATTTACAATTGTTTTTGTGAGTGCAATAAATTCTTTTAAGGTTTCGTTTCGGATAGTTTTTCTACTACTTCTTAAATCAACTATTTAGTAAAATATTAAAAATGTTATACTAGAAAGTTGTTTTAAGAAGCAGTAAGAAATATGTCCCCAACAAATTCTAAGGAAATATAATAAAAATTTTTCTAGAAATCAATGAAAAATTAACAAGAAAGTAATAGTGAAATAAAAAAATGATTGATATTTGAAAAGAAAATAATAATAATAATAATAATAAGATATTTTTTATAAGGCATATTTTTTATAAGGCTCTATTTATAACACGTGACTCACAATCTCGGCATAATTTATATCTTACTTTGCCATTATAAACAAAGAAAAGATTTTTTTTTTTTATTCTTTTTTCATCCTTCCATAATACTAAAAAATAGCCAACAAGATATTATAAGAACATAAAACAAATTGTCAATTTTTATCTAATTGAATTAAATGTCATTTATTTATCATATTCATCATCGCCTATAAGAAATAACTATATTAACTCCAATTTATGACACTAACTTTGATTTTTTTTTTTTATTAATTAAGAAATTCATTTTAATTTATTAATGAAAAAATAAGATACATATTTATATAAAATATTATTTTCCGTAAAACAATATAAATTTAAAATAATAAAAATATATTATGAATAAAAAAAATTATAAAAAATGTTTTTTTAAATTGATTATGATAAATTAATTTGTTAAATTTTTTGACACATAATAACTCATAAAAAAATTTCATACTAAATTATTTATTTAAAAATAAGAAAAATATTTGCATTTAAATTTTTAATAAAAAAAATATAAAAAGTGCTCATGTACCTCCTCTCCAACACAATATGAAATAAAAAAAAAAGTTTTGAATTACATGGGCATTGCTGTAATTAAATTAGATTCATTTCAGTCGTTGAACGAACTGAGGTTAAAATTTGAAATACAAAAGCAATATTATTTTTCAGTAACTGAAATGTTCAAAGTTCTATGGTAAATGATGATGCCCATTTGATTCTTAATGCTAAAACTGTAGCATCACATCAATTAAAGATTTTTAATAATATCTTCCACTCTCCTACTTAATTCATGCCAGGACGCAAGTCCCTGTGATTCATTGGTTGAGAATTTTAACTACCAATTAAGAAATTTTGAATTAGAATCTTCATGTCGGGTCAAACGTTAAAGCTAACCATTAATATTTCTCGCTAAAACTGTATTTGGCATGCTATTAGGCTATTCTCTTACTAAATAATTTTCTAACTAAAAAAGGCAACAACAACATCAAACCTTTGTCCCACTACGTTAGGTCAACTACATGAATCTTTTTTTCTCTATTGTTAAAAGTCAAATTCTCGTTTAAATCTAATAAAGAAAGATTATTTCTAATATTTTTAATCAAGTCTTTTTAGGTCTACCTCTATCTTTCTTAGCATAAGTCAAATCTAATACATCTACTTTCCTAACCGGGTCATCTGAAGGCCACCGTTTTATGTGACCAAACCATCTGAGGCAACCCTCTCTAATGTTATCTTCCATTGGAGCTACTCTAACCTTTTCACGTATATGCTCATTTCGTATCCTATCTCTAAGGATAAAGTCACTCATCCACCTGAGTATCGTCATCTCTGCAACACTTAGTATAAGAAATTTTCTTCAGCCACAATTTTTTTTTGTTAAATATTAAATTGTAATTAGCATTAAAAGACTATTTAAAATTACTACAATTTTTAATAAATATGATTATAAAATTATTATGAAGAAAATAATATTTTTGTAAGTTACTGAAAAAAAAATCAATATAAATTCTTTTAAAAAATAATAATCAAATAAAATTATTGTAATTTAAAGGAATAAAATATGAAGAAGACTATCCAAAAAAAACCCTAAAATATAATTGGGATGAAAACTACAACTAAAACTAGTCTTTTAGCCACCAGTTTGAAACCTTACAAAAACATTTTGAAATTTGCGGCTTCAACCTTTAGCTTTACTCATGCCTAACATGTTGCAAATAATCAGTTATGAGTCAGTAGTTATGTCATGATCTGCTTAATTTCATCCATGCATAGCTACCACCGCTGTCTATTTCTAGAAAACTACCTAATAATATTCTATTACAAAGTTGACCGTTTGGTCCAGTAATATGAATTGTTTATTCATGAAGAGTGTAAAATCAATTTTGAATATTAAAAATATAACCTGACCTTCTAGATTTAATTATAGACGTCTTGGAAAAGATTCAGAAAGTCAGAAAAATCACCCTCTTCAAGGTTTAATTGTTAAAAAAGAAAATTAATAAGAAATTATATGATAACGGAAGCCTTCTTTTCACTCAACTCATCTTGATCTATTAATTAAGGGTTAATTTGGACATTTTACATCTAAAATGATAATTTAGGAACGAATAAGCAGGCAAAGAAAAAATTTTGTAACTGCCAAAAAAATTATGTTTATTAACAAGTAAGTATGCTTAAGTTTTGTTTCCAAACAATCCAATGTAACTGATTTTGGCTAATTCAAACGAAGAAAGGAGAAAAAAAATCTAATCAAACGAGGCCTAAAGCTTCATTTGAGCCTTTCATTCTACTTAAAATAACACTCTAATACATAAGTTAAAATTTTTGTATTCAAAAGCAACAATAAGAAACATTAACAGGCCGTCTCAAACAAAGTCTAAGCCTTCGTTTGAGACGATATCTTTTTTGCTGTTTTTTAAAGCAGCTTTTTAATAACAAATTTATTATTTTTGGTACTATAACGCTGTTTCGAGAAACAATAAAAAAGTCGTCCCAAACGAAGCCTAAGGTCAAAGAGTGGCAACAATTGGATGACAATAATGATCAACCGGTAGTAGTTGAGCAATGATAATTGAGTAACAACAATCATATAATATTGATTATCATTGATGAGACATGGCCACCATCATCAAATAATTCTTTCAAATTCTTTATATCTTTAAATTCCCTCCAATTTTCAATCCCTTTTTTCCCAAAAAAAAAGACCCATTTAGCCATTTATAATGGTTTGAAATATCATTTGAATAATTTAAATCCAAATCCTCAAAGAATCCATTAAATGATTCAATTTATTCCATCAATCATATATTATTATTATTTTTTACATTTAAGTACCTTAAAAACATCAAAATTAAGTGAACTTAGCCTCCATTAAATTTTCCTCTCATTGAGATGCTCATTTTAACTATAAACATGCAAGATAAAATAAACCTTTCTTCCATCAAATAATGTTGAGAAATTTTCAATCATATTTCAAATATTTGATTTGAGCCCACTTGAATCCAAATCAAATATTTTTGGCATCATTTGTCTCATCTAATCAAAACACTTATTTATAAATTTATTGAAATCAAATAAACTAAATTCTTCTAAATTTAATTTCCAAATAATTTCAATTTAAATATTTTATCAAGATTCATAATTAATTTATGAATCTTGATATTATGCATCAATCATATATATATTCACATTTCTCAAAAAAAAAAAAAAACTAGCACATTTTCTATAAGAAACTATCTATTAAGATTTCTTGAAGTTTTAGAGGAAAATGTTATTGCAGCTTAAGTTGAAGGGAAGAAATGAACCTAAACCAAATTCTGAGACGCAGCACATTGGGGTGAAGAGAAGCCTACATTCCTTGGATGCATCTGGTCAGCAGGTAAGGGCCTAGAGGAAGGATACAGAAAATAATAGCATCAGAATCATCAGTAAGAAAATTAAACTGCCCTTGGAAGATATTTAGCATTTCTTATGTTTATGTGCAGTAACCTTTTCTACTTTTTCATGCATTCTCAGGGCCTCAAGAATACTTTCAACCCACCTGCCAATAACAAAAACGATTAACTAAATAGAAATATATCATCCTTGCAATTTCAGATCACAATGAAGTTGCAGATGCCCAAATTAATATGGAGAAATTATTCTGTGCGGAGACCGGATGCAAAATGCCGTCCAGAGCCGTCTAGAGACCAACTAGAATGCGCCACGACAGCAGTACTGAGCCGCATTGTTGAGCGAAGGGGTGACGTTGCGCATTCTGATTGGTCTACGGACAGAATAATTAATCATCAATATGATTGTTCCTCTTGCAGAAATCTCAGTAACAATGCCAAATCACTAGAACTACAATCATATAAGCTAGGTTGCATTTGAGAGTGGGAAATAGCGATATACCCATCAAGACCTGGGTTGTCAGGATAATATACGTTCTTCAGGCCTAATTTCTTTGCAGCCAAAGCTGTTGTTTGACCAATGCAAGCAACAGATTTGTCCCAGCTCTCTGACTTTGGAACAAGATTAATCCAAGCACTGTTATAAAAAAGATAACAAATGAGAAAAATACTTGCATCAGTGGAGTAATGAACGATTTGCTTTATATCAAAGTAGCAAATTAACAGAACAGTAGCAACCTGAAATAACCACCAAAATAATTGCAAATACTTTCATGCATGGTTTAGTTGAAGTCTAGGGAAGTTACCGGATGGCAGAAGGAGAAGCTACGGCCAGAACAGGAGCAGAAAGTGCTTGCTTCAAAACAGCGTGGTCAACCTCTTGAACAGGTTCCTGAAAAGGATAGGGACATAGAAGAGATCATTCAATTTGAATGCATGTTTTTAAGATCTTCTACAACAATTTTGTTAATCCTAGCTGTATTTGTTTTTGTGAGTTAATGTCGTATAAAGATGAGCTGAAAAAAAAAGAAGAAGAAAATAAAGACCGAAGAAAAATGTTAAGAAAAAAAACAAAACAGATGATTATAACTAGAGGATATTATAACCAGCTTTATTCTAAAGGGCAATTTGGAAAAGAATACAATATAAAAAGAATGCAGTGTAAAAAAAATATTTTGAAATTATTTGGACGAGTGTAAAGTAAATGCAGATGAATGTTTTTTTGGTGGATGGCAGCAAGTGGCGGCTGACGGCGGTGGTGGGCAATAACAGGCGGCGAAGGTCAAGTGAGCTTGCTTATGGTATAAACGGTTCTCGCTCAAAACTGGGCAAGTTTAGTTTATCTCAAATATGAACAAAAATTGTTTACACCATACTTACTTTACTTTGTATTCTTTTTCTTCAAATCAAACACCAATATTTTTAAAATCCTTGCATTTAGCATATTTTACACCCATTTTACTTCCAACCAAACAGCCCCTAAAAGAAGCAGATCAGCCCAAACCTAAGTTAAAACAGCATGGAAAGCCAAGAAATAGAGGTTTGTAGCACCATGAACACAAAATACTATTCCTCTTGATAACGGGATCTATATCTTTCTATTAAGAAATCTCCATCCTCCTCTTTCCTAGATGGAAATCACCTCTAAAGCAGGACCAACAAGCTGTCATTTTTCGTAAACCCCAAAAACTCCCAAATTCCTAGGTGGATCAAGATTGTCAGACACTGTTCAGCTCCTACCCAAGCTAGCAGGATTTTGGTAAGCTATGCACATTTTCCAGAGCTCACAAGTGCACAATGATTTTTCATCGGTCATGAGACATGCCCTTTCCCATTTTGATTTTATTTTGGATGCCACTACATCAGCTCATTGAAGATTGATTTCCATGATTTTCCCACACAAGTGCGATATCAAGGGGATAAACTTTGAAAATATTGTCTCGATTAACAAAATGGGGAAACTATAGCTTATTCACATTGCTTTAAAAAGATGGTCGTGTTCTACAATCTGAGACGTTAAGCATGACAAGAAACCTGAAATACTTTATTAAAATTTGAAAATGTAAACACAGGCGCATTTTTTAAGGTTTTACTTAATAACATTATCATGATAAAAAAATTCATCCAAAGAAACTCACTCCTTTCAAGATAATAATGGTTGTCACGATTGTACTGAATCCTTTAATAAATTATTTATAAAACAAAATCTCATGAATATTGGTAGATTTTGATCGATCATTAATTACCTTCACTTTATCATGAATAATAAATATTCATTTACGTAATACTGCAAATCCAAAATATCACAAAATATATAAAAAAAATAAAACTTCTGTAAATTCAAATATAATATCGCCTCTTTAATATCTCCAAAACTTTTCTAAGACACTCCAAAACCTTCCCTTTAGTCAACTATAAACCGAGATATCATCAAAATACACAACTAAAAATATTCCAGTAAAATGTCGAAGAACCCTATTCATAATGCTCATAAAAAAGTGTGATTTATTAACCAAAAAGCACGACCAACCATTCACATAATTAATCTTTAATTAAAACTATATATATTATTCCTCCTGTCATTCTTATATGATAAAAGCCATTTCTTGGGTCAGTTTTAAAAAATATTATAACTTCAATCATCCTATCCAATATATCATCCAATCTAATAAGTATATAAAACATGTCTAGAGATTTTAGTAAATAACCAAAGATCACGTTTGGGCTAAGGATCAAGTTGATAATTTTGCTTACATCTCCCCCTCCAGGTACCCAAATATCATATACGCGTCCAAAATATAGAGCCTTGAGTGCTAGAAAAAAAGTACTTGTACCTAATAAAATTAAGTGAATTACTCAGGTTAATTGTTCTATTATCTATACAAGTATGCTAACATGCATCTCATGAGTTAAACCATCTACAATAAATCCATTTTTTGTGCAAGCCACTTGCCTTTTAAGTTCAATGTATTATGTTGGATTTGTTATATAGTGTTGTAGATTAGATAAAGATAGATCCAGTAATCAAATCAATAGCATAATGTATACTTCTGAGTGATGTAAGTGATGGCCGTTTATCATGAAAGTTATCGAGATACGCATTTAAAATTACATAGTACTTAATTGATATATTTAGGTATATTCACCCTTTCAGTCATATCAACCGTAGATTTTACAGCCACGAAAGCATAAATTAATTCTCTTTTAAAACTCTCATTTAAATTTATGTTGATTTAAAATATACAGTGATTTCTTCAATTCATTAAGTGAAGTAGATTCTTTTGTAAATGAAGGGGTATATTTTTAAATTTAGCAAACATTAAGACTACTCTTCTTCCATTTCTTTTGAACACATAAGTATTAGATTTCAAAATTGAGACGCATCTAAATCAACATCTAAATCATAAAATCAACGTTGATCCAAAATAATACATGCTAGGTAGAAAGTTGGGACTAACAATCTTATCAAAATCTTATCTAGCTATGTAGGTTTATAGGATTGTCTCTCAAATTTAAATTTCATGCAATCAATGACCGAGTTAGCTAAAACATTCATTAAAAATTACACTATTTGTAAGAAGCTTAAAGATTCTATCACCAGACTTAAATTAAGTTCAAAACATAAAAATTACTTTTCAATCAAATAGAGAGAGTCGCCTTAGATGGTTTGGTCACATAAAACATAGGCCTTCCGATGACCCGGTTAGGAGAGTAGATGTATTAGAATTGACTTATGTTAAGAAAGGTAGAGGAAGACCTAAAAAGACTTGGTTAGTAAATGTTAGAAATGATATTTCTTTAATAGATTTAAATGAGCTCTTAACATGACGCAATGGAAAAAAAGGATTCATGTAGTCAACCCCGCGTAGTGGGATAAAGGCTTGATGTTGTTGTTGTTGATGTTTTTTGTAATCAAATTCAACATCAGGTGTGCTAAATACATCACATAACATTTTAAGAGTTTTCTAAAAGCACTTTTAAAATCATTGTTCTCTTTATAAAAATCAAGAATATCATCTCCCTTCTTAACTTCATAACCATCTTCTTTACATTAAAATATAAAATCATACGATGCCATTTATTTACATGGCGACAAATCTGAAGATTTTTCTTTATTATTCTTGTTTAAAAAAGTTTTACTTCTCTTAAATATACGTGAAGTATGTTGGACCTAATTATTTTGATGATAAGACATGTTCCCAGGATATGTAATAGCTCTTAGAGATAAGAAATGTTAACATGATTTAAAATTCGAAGCAGGTTTGAAATGAAACACTATACAATGACATTTCTCATTTAATATTATTTTAGGATCTTCAATTATTTTAAACTACATTAATGATTCCTCAAACGTTTCGTATATCTACTAACAATTTTATTCCTTGTATTAAAGCATTAACTTTATCAATCAATTGACCATGATATAATAATAAAAGATTTTTTTCCTAGATAATATAATCATATCAACTTACATAGTTCCAAGTTCTCCACCTAGTATTTCCATTATTTTTTTTTAACAATCATTCAAAACATTTTCATTTGCCCAATTAATTTAATTTAACAAATTTTTTTTTTTTTGGGACATTTAGGCCATTTAAGGCAAACTCACACACACAACGCATACACATAAACTCAAATCCTGAACCTCTTAGTTGGAAGCCTAAGCTCTCAACCAATAGGCCAAGGAGAGTTGTGTAATTTAACAAATCTTACTTTGACGATAACCAAACATAACTTATCATTTAAGGAAATTATCCATATCTATAATCCAGTTGAGAAAAATTTTAGTCTCGGATTAAAATCAAAATTATAGATAAAAATTTATGAAGATAATAATTTAATAGCCTTTTATTATAAATAATAAATATAAATTTGAAATCATGAAAGCCATACAATCAATTGAAAATCGTGACAGTAGAAAACTAGATTGTATCAAATTTGATTAAAATCAATCCATATGAAAGCCAAATCAATATTTAGAGAAAGGAAATAGAGAAAAATCATAAAATCAAGTTCCCTGCTCGTAGAAGGAGATGCTCTTTCAAAAATCTTCACACTGCAATTGATTGAGGAGAGGACTACAAAAACATAAACATCCAATTACAAAATTATTAAAAATACTTGATTTTTTTTCAACAAGCCTCATAACTCTTTTTAATAATCATATCTCCAGGAATTTACATTAAAAAATAACCCAAAACTATAATCAACCAAATAATGCGCTTTACCAAAAAAAATGACCGATAACAAGTTACAAAAGCAGTAAACATGAACTTTGTTGCGGAATAGAACTTCCAAATACCAAGTATAGGAATCCAACAATAAAATTCAAAGAACCATCACCAAAAGCAAGATCACCATAACCGAGCACCAAAAATCCATTCTAGAAGAAGCACAGACCATTAATTTCAGGAATAATAAATCCTGGGAAAGTTTATTAAATACAAACCATTCTCATTATAGGGAGCATCATTGGCATGTCTTAGAAAAAAACAAAAACAGAAAACTCAAACTAAAATAAAAACATACAAATTATTAAAATAAAAGCCATGTCGATGACTCGATGCGGACATCGATACGAAGATTTGGCGCATCTATCACAGGAGGCGTCGTAAATCGACGGCTATAATTTAAATCTTCAATTATGATATATTTTTCTCAATTTTAGTTCTTATTTGATGTATTTCCTGTTTTACCCCTAGGTTGGTTTATGTGAGTGTTGTGGCCCAAGGGGCAATTTTGTATTTTGAGTTTTCTTATGTTATGGCCTATATATAGGGCCATAAGCTATTGTAATAAGGAGGGATTATTGATATAAAAAAAAAATTGTGTTCCACACTTGTGTTCTTGTGAAGAGGACGATGGTGAGATTTCTATGGGAGGAATCGGAGTTTTCACCAGCCGCAGGATGGGTCCGGGCTCGTGACTTGAAGTCCCTTTGGAGAAGGTCAAAGCATCACCCGTCAGTCTTCAGAAGAGTCCAAGGCTCGCGATTTTTATCTTCTATCTTCCGTTTTATCTCTTGTTTTTATTCCTTCTTGTTGTTGCTAGTCGTTTATCTTCTTCCTCTACCTCCGTCCACCATCGTCGTCTCCATTTCCACCATAAGTCGCCGGCCACCTCACCCCCTCATCTTCCCATGGCCATGCCTCCTTCCAATTTGAGTTGGCAAAATCGAGAGGGAAAATCCATGACAATTTTGGATTTCAAATTTGAAATCTTTCCTACTTGGGTTTGATCCATATTTGGAAGGTTTTAACTCTCCAATTCAAAATTCAAATTTGAATTGCAAGGAGATAAGTCATTAATCCCTCCAAATTAAATTAGACCTAGTTCCCTTGCCGCCGGCCTCATCCTTTCTCCTCTCTCCGTGAATTTCCTAATTTGGGGTGCATGATATTAGGACTTAGTTTGAAATTCAAATTATCTAAATTTGAAATTCAAAATTTATTTCCTAATTTAGTTCACCTATTTTTGGAAAGTGCTTAATTGAAATCAATTTGAAATTTAAATTCAAATCTGATTTATTGTCTCACTTTCCTAATTCCTAAATTTACATTTATGCAAGCATGACACCTCACCCCAAATTCCCTCTTGCCCATTAATGCCGCCAGCCCCCTTCATTGGCTTGGATTTAGATTTATTTCCTTAAGCTAAGTCTCTCTTTTGGAAATATTTCAAAACCCCTAAATCTCCTCCTAACCGAAATTGTTCAAGGCCCAAGCTCTAATTTATTTCCTAAAACCTGAAATTAGATTTTGGAAATAAATTCTCCCCCATATTCCCGTCACCCTCACATTCCAAATTCTATTGCCTAAGCATCCCCTCATTAAATCTTGCCAAACTCATTATTCTGATTTGAAATTCCCGTCACTCTTTCTTTCCCTTGCTGGCCAACTTCTCCAATACCTGTACATTAATTTTCCCCCACAAATCACTCTCCAAATTCCACCTAATGTGGAATATTCTGCCTTCTAAGGCTGCAGCCAGGGAATTCCCGCTCAAGCATTAATCACTTCCCAAAGCTGAGAGGGGGATAAGGAAATAATTCCCCAATTCTTCTCTACATCCCGCCGCTCCTCTCCACTGAATTTCTGCTAAAAAAAAAAAAGAAAAATCTGTCCAGATTTTAGTGTTCTCATTGGAGGGATTTGGGGACTTACAACCTGCTGTTGATCGAACTTGTCCCAAGACCCCACCTTGGGTTGCCTCTCTCTCTCCCACTGGAATACTTCAAGGGAATTAAAGCCTCAAGACTTCTCCCTCTAATTCCCCTTGTTACTTTAAAAATCTGAGATTCTTCTCAAGTTTTGGGCAAAGAAATCAGAATTTCCTTCAGATTTTAGAGAAGAGCTCCTCTTCAATAGCAAGGCCGTTTCCCGTTCTACCTCACATGTCAATCCGTTTGTCTCAACACATATTTCATATTTATGAAACAGATTATATTAAGCATAGAAATTTGTATCAGTATTAGAGGACAACTTTTAGGAAGTTTTATGCAAGTCTCCATGAAATTTTTTATTGCAAAACAATTGCATTATCGCTCAAAAAATACTTCCAATCAAATATGGCATAATTATGTAATGAACAATTACTGATAAGTTTAAAGATCTTACGGTGCTGTAAGTATTCAGCCTGGTGACCTTAAATCCTCTATCCGTCAGACCTTCCTCTGAAAATGTCAACAGAGATTAACAGAAAATGACTAGGGGTAAATTGTTATAAAACAAGTTTAGAAGCATAGTGCCAATATCAATGATATGAAATGAAACTGATATGTATCCGAAGAGATAATTAAAGTCACAAAGAAATGAAAATAGAAAATAATTGGCAGAATATAGCTACCATGGTTCATGACATAATGAGGCATGCATCTCGAGTCTCGACTGAACAAACATAGAATAAGGGCATAGATAGATATAAATTAGTAAGCACCAAGGTTTATATCATGCACACTTGTTTTAGTTTGGTCTTATAATCAAATAACGGAAATGAACATTCCAATATATAATCTACAATAACAACAAGCATTTATCTCACTACCATTTTATAAAATTTTCTATTGAGTTTGAGGGTACTTTTCTATCACATAATAGGCCCAATGCATTCCTCCACTTCAACCATCCAACTTGAATTCTACTAATAATATCATAATATCCCCATCTATTTCACCATCACTTTGAACAATTGATATGAGATATCTAAGGATCGACATCTCCGCCCTGCGATGGAGGCGAAAGGAGGGGTAGTATCTCTACCGTTGCGAGGAGCAGGAGGGTTGGCATCTCCGCCGGATCGAGGAGGCGAAAGGAGGGATCGGCTCATCAGGCCCTTAAACCTCCCATCATTACTTTCCTTTCTCTACACAACCTCTTTTGGAAAGCTTTGATTTCAATTATTCAATCAATTTTGAATTTTGAAATACTTCCTAAAACAGACAACTTATTTTAAGAAAGTCCTTAAATCAAGTCCAAATTAATTTCAATTTGGATTTTATTTAAATCATTTTCCTCAATTAAAAGTCCTTGATTAGGCAAGCTTTTAACTCACACCCCCTAACCCTATGCCACTTCACCAAGCTGTCGGCCTCCTCCTTTTATCTCTCTCTCCCTACATTAACTCCCCTCCTTCTAAATGCCTCAATCAAATCTCTCATTTAGGAATAATTTTCCTTTCCCTCCCTATTTGAAATTCAAAAACCCCTAATCCCTCCCAATCTAATCTTATTTCAAAACATGAAATTAAAACACCCCCCCTAGCTCCATTCTACATCAAGATGATAAAAGCCTAAGACCTCATACAAAAATGAGATCAACAATTGCAGGGTTTTGGGCAACGTTGCTTTCATCATCAACCATATTTGCCATGATTGGTCGAGTTGATCATGGGAATCCTTTGATAATTTTGATGCCTCATAATACATTGGCACAATTCATTTCAAGAAATTGGCAATAATTAAATGATCACTGTCACAAACAAAGTGTTGAGTTACTACGTCCGTCATATGACCTTGACCCTATGCTTGATCAAAATACATTGTTGAATACGTGCAATAGAAGTAAACAGCACCTCAAGGCATGTGTCACAACTCCCAAATGCCTTTTAAACTATGGTTTAGAATACCAGGTTTTATGGTCTAGAACCATATGCTAATTAGCTTGGCAAATAGCATAGGATCAAAATTACTTTATTAGTTCACCTACCAAATTCACATGCTATTGAATAACTATGTTCTTGAATTATGGGTTGTGGTTGATAAAAATAAGAAAAAATGAATGACATCTAAATACTTTTTTCAATGGAATAATCATGTTCTTGATTTTTTTTCTTTATTTTTTTTTTTGTCAAAGAAAAAGGGGTTTCATGTACAATAGGGTCTAGGGCAGGCAAAGAGGAAAGCAGAGCTAGGTAGGACTATCAAAGAGAAGTTCCCAGTAAAGAGGTGAAAGCCCGAGATAGATGAACTCGCACAAACCATGCACATTCTTAGACATGGGCCATATAGAAACCAAGAATGTCAAGCAAAGCTGCCTGACATGAAGCCAGCAAGACCGGAATCCTGTTGTCAGATTAGTGCCTCATCCTTAAAGACCTAAGACCATCCCTGATTCAATGTTGGATATCACTGGATCACTCTGGAGAGAAACCATATGGTGAGATATCACTAACAAACACCCCAGCATTCCTCTCTCCCTAAATGATATGAATTGCAGTGGCAAAAAAGAATTTAACAAGATCTCCAAAAAGTTAAAAAGCAAAGTAACTGTGCTTAGTGAATGATGGATGGGAAGGCTATGACAGTGGAGGCAAAACGGCTATATGACAGTGGAGGCAAGACGTCAATAAAATGTCGACACGTGGAGTGGATACGTGTATATTCAATATGTTTAATCTGTCCACGGAACTTTAAGTTAAGCTCACCAAAAGCGCAACTAAAGCGCAGGTAAAGCACAGTCAAAGCGCAACTAAAGCGCAGGTAAAACGCAGGTAAAGCACAAGTAAAGCGCAACTAAAGTGCACTCCACGTGTAAAATTTTTAGTGGATGTCTGGACATATCTCTACGTCCGGTGTCCAGACCTAATAATTTTCCCATAAGGAGAGCTGCACATAGCACAATGGCTCATGCTGAATCCCCTAACAAATAAGATGTTACCTGTCCTCAACTTGACCAACTTGCCAAAGAAAAGGGCCTACGAGCCAATATATATTTTGTTTAGAAATGTCAAACCCAGTTTACTGATGCGGGGTTTCTCCAACTTATACATTTTCCAGTTTAGCCAAATTTTGCTGTCATAAATGAGTATGCTTCAAGAAAAAAGGTAGCATCCAGATGCACTGAAAACTTTCAATAAGCAAGTTAGAGACAGAAGCATAAAGAGAAGTAAGAGATGACTTGATGAGGACATCGACAGACGCTACCGACATGTTTATCGCCGGCGAAACCGCAGATCGACGGCCACGATTCAGCGCCTCTACTTTTGATTTAGATGTCATGATGTATTTTATTATTATCTTGTTTTATTTACTGTCTTTCTATTTTTACCCCTGTGGGGAGTTATTTTGTCATTGTAGCCCAGAGGGCAATTTAGTATTTCTGCTTTGTATGAGTTGAGACCTATATATAGTGGTCTCTTGTATCATTTTGAGCTAAATGAATATTTGAATGAAATTGATGTATTATTTTCTACTTCATCTTGCATGAGGGCTTGAGAAGGGAGAAAGCTCAAGGAGAGCAAATCGCAAGGCCCATCAGTCGTTGGAAGAGTCCATGGCTCGTGGTTAGTTATCTTATCTGTTTAATTGTAATTTCCCGTCGCCTTCTCCTTCACCACATCACCCAATTCTCCCCAACTCCCATAGCCGCCGCCCCTTGGAGGATCACCGCCGGCCACATCCCCGGTCCCGGCCGACCACCTTGCCTGCGACTTCCCCTCCCCCGTCCACCCCATCTCAACGCCATATTCAATTTTGAAATTTGAATTTCAAATTTTAAAATTTTTCCTAATTTGGAATTCCAAATTTGGAAAGTTTTTCATGACAAATTCCAATTTCAATTTAATTTAAATTGGAATCTTGAATGAGTCGCCACATCACCATCCTAAATTAGAAACCTCTCCCCTCAATTTCCCCTTCCTCTTCCAAGCATGCCGCCGGCCCCCTCATGGAGAATTCCCCATTAAATGAGACTTTAATGCCTTGACCGTTTTGGACTCCTAATTTGATCTCAATAATTTTCCCTCCCAAATTACTTAAAACTGAAATTACAATCAGTTTTAAGTTTGCAAACCCTAATTCCCCCCCTAAGCATGCCGCCGGCCTCCTTTTAATGAGCCCCTTTAATGGCTCATTAAATCCCCCCTTAACTCCATTGAAAATTTGAAATCTCTTTTCAAATTATTTCCTCCATCTTAACTAAAATTTGAGAATTAACTTCAGATTTTAGTAAATTGCTTGCCACCTCATCTAACCTAACTTCTCTCACTCATTGCACCCGCCCCCTCTCTTCCACCTTGGCTGAAATTCCTCCCTCCTTGGATATCCCGCCGGCCACTCCCTCCTCTCCGTGAAGAATTCTCCACGCCAAGGATGTATGGCGGATCCGGAGCTTGAGTGGGGTCTAGTATTCCACGTTGACGGAAGCATCAACATCTTGAAATCTCCATGCTTTGACGTGGGATTTGAAGACGAGACCACCGTGGAAGAATATTTGGACCGAGTCGTCCCGATCCTTGCTAGCATCTTCGACCGACGATTCTCACGCCACAAGTGGAGCATCGTAAGCCACCCACTATCTCCTTCCCCGCCGGCCACCTTCCCACCAACGAGGCTCTTCGGCGTCGGTTTTCTAGTGGTAATATCCTTCATCGCTTGGATCTTCTCTCTCCGCTAAAAGCCTACTAATATTTGAGTGAGACGGCCCCAAGGTGAAATTCTCGTTGTTAAACGTTGGGTTTTTGTTACTTGTACTTTGCATTTAATTCTCCTTGGATTTTGAATGAACTATTTTGGTTAATCTCTATTGCATCTCTTTGGCCTAAGCAAGTTAATATTTTTGAATTCATAACTCAAATTTTATGTGCTAGCTTTAAATTCGTAACGAGCAACACTTTAATCGTTTCTCTTTAATTTCTAAAATAACTCCTAGTAGCTTCACATCATGACTATTTGGAAACAATCATGGTTTTATGAGAAAATCAAGGATAAGAATTAAAAAATACTACCAAAATGATGATAAGATACCAATTTCGTTTCCAGCCTTTACAGATGCAGGATATAGGACTTTACAAGTGCTGTCGCCATCATTTGGAAGCTCTGCTGCTAACACTTTGCCTGTAGCTGAGAGGAACTAATACAAAGTTAGTTCAATATATATATATATATAGCAATTATTAATAGAGCGCACTATATCACAACTGTCATTTGGAGCACTTTTATAATGTTTCATATCATAGTACAAGTCGTGCTAAGTCAAAATACTAGGACTTCAGTTTACCTTTTGAAGGGGAAAATGCAATCTCAAGAGTTTTTTCACGTGACAGTAAAATCTCATGAAAGACACTTGCTGTGCCAGCTCCAACCACTCCAATTCTTACTTTAGGACATCTGGCAGCCCTGATATTATTTTAGTACGCAGAGCATAAGTGTGCAATTTGGTTATAGTGAATACCAATCAGATTTAGAGCATAATCCAAAATTTTAAGAATTCATGCAAAATCTATATCAACGTATAGCATAAAGAGAAATTCACTAGTTTTCAGAGTTGAATAAAAATGAACTAAAACATCTTGAAAGAAAATAGGGATAATGATGCAGAACAGCTTCAAAAAATATAGAAATAGAAAAAGGAGGAAATAAAAACAGGAAAAAAAAAAGTAACAACAAAAGCTAGCCAAAATAATGGCAGTGAAGGGTTTTTGTTTCCTTATGCAATTAGAAGAATATAATGTATATAAATCACTCAAGAGAACTTAGGATTCACAAATCATAAAACACTAAATAAACCAACTTATTTCCTTTAAATGCAAACAATAAATAAGAGATTTAGAACTCAAGTAATGATAGAATGATTAAATAAATCAGAAGAAAAACAAGAAATTTGAAACATGCAAAATCATCAACCAATTGTTCTTTAATCACCATAATAAGATCCCAATTGTCTCAAATTTGAACAAAATCAGGAAACAAACAAGTCAACAATAAGTTATGTGGAAGAGATTTGATCAAAAAAAGTAACAAGAAAAAAAAACCAGACCTAACTAGATAGATAAGCACCAGATCCAGCATGAGGCATTTGTAGCTGCTAAACCAAATATCAATAAAATCAGTTGAATTGGCATGTTATGTACAGAAGAAATATTTTATGCAATACTTTAATTAATAGCAAAGAAAACTAATAATGCACACCCGAATAGTTTGGATAAGGCCGATCTTAATAATGAGTTCTTAAATGAATTTTACAACCAATTAAATTAAAGGATGCATTATTTTTAATAATAAACTTTTGAAAAGAGAACAAAATTTTGAATGAATGGATTCCTTTTAATTAAAGATTATGATGGAACTCTGCAAGAACAATTAACATAATCCAAATATTATAAGGTGGGTCATAATGATCTTAGGAGATGCTTACTTCCATGCTTCAAGGAAGACCAAACCAGCTTCTGGAGAAGTAATGACAATCCAATCAAATATAACATCTAAAAAAATAAACAAGAAAAGTGAGTAATCCCATCAAAACTTCACAAGAAACTAGCAAGCATTAACAAACCAGAGCTTATAGCAGTTATAAAATGGTCTTTAGAAGTAGTCTCAGAAAGGTGCATATATAGCAAGAACTGAATGTGGAAAGTATGGAAAAACATCTCGTAATGTATTTCACCAGAAAATAGATTATGCTCGGAAATATCTACTCATTACGAAATTTCATGTGTCAAAGTGCGGACCCACACCCAAGGTAACTGCCTTCAAGATTCTTATAGTTGAGTGATGTAGCGACCAAAAACAAACGAAGAGGGAATTTATAGAAAGTTAATTCTATTAGCTCGAACACAACGAGAATGAGTGCTTTCCTAAAATGAACTAAACCTTTTGCACGGGCTCGCCATACTTTTGTATGGTCTGGAGAGGCTTACTTGTTGTATAGTTTGTGCTTTATTTGTTTTTGGTTTCATTGCCTGTTGTTTCGTCTAGTTCAATAATATCACTTGTCCTAGTGAGTTTTATAGACACATTGGGCCGAAAGCTTCTCAAGCTCAAGCATTTACTTTTCTAATGAGAGACCAACATCTTGGGGCTAACATGGGATCCAAATTTGGTATCAAGATCGTGGTTGGGGAGAATTTGCTTTGCACCTTAAGGAATGCCTCTTATGTATTCAAGACTTGGAAAAAACTCATACTAGCGGCAAGCGAGAGTGGAACAAAGCACGTAATGAAAGAGAAGCGGTTTCATTCAATTTGTTGTGGATTGGATGATGGAAAACCATCAAGCAGCAAGCGAGGTAGAGCCAAGTTGCCGTAGCACGCCCAAATGACTTGTAAAAAGTCAACAACCATTTTGGGGCACAAGAGGCATATAAACTGGGACCATTGAAATCACAGTTGACCAACTTCAGATCAATAAGCACAATAAGGCAAGTCAACCCTACCACCAATACTATACTAACGGGTCGACTCAATGCTTCTACTGCGTCTCCATACCAAGCCGGAGAACATGCCATCTCATCTAACGATGACAGTCCTAAGATACTTGATCGAACAAGTAATTGTGTGGAGCTTATCGGCTCAGAACTGATGCCTACTCTTTTGTACCAAAGCACAGTGCAATCTCAGCAAATAGAACCTTAGATAAGCATAATGTTAGACCGATCAAGCCGGTCCACATAGGACCGGCAGTTCGCAAAGAGCGACAGATCTCAGCCTCCTGCGGAGATCGAGCGGCCCGACCAGCCCATTAGAGCATTTTAGGAAGCGTTTTTTAGGGTTTTGAGAGGGAAATTTGAATGTAGGGACTGTTTAGGGATTTCCTTTTGATTTGTATGCATTAAATAGTTGAATTTCCTAGGGTTTGTGCATCTTGAATTTGGCTGAAATTTGAGATCTCTTAGATTTAGGTTTCTTTGGGCTCTAGCGGCGTCTAGAGATTTGGGAGAGATCGATCCTCCTCTCGAATTGACGATCAATTGTATCTTTGTTGTTTTATTCATCGTTTATTGGAATACAAGTCTTTTCTTGGTTTTCGCTCAGAATAGTGCTGTTTTTCTGCTGTTTTTCTGTTCGGGACAGCAACTTTGTCGCTGTTGGATCTCCGATTTGGGTTAGGATTGCTTGCGAACTCAAGTATTACCTTAGAGTTACTTGCGAACTCGAGTATTTCCTATCAAATTGGTATCAGAGCATCATTTTTGGGACCTTAGGAGGCTGAAATCCTGATTTTTCAACGAGCTTTTGGCTTCCCAAAGTGGTATTTTTGAGATCCGTTGGGAAGAAAGATGGCCGGAAAGAAGGTTGACGTCTTAGAAGGAGAAGTCAGCCAATTGAAAGCCGATTTGGAGGAAAGATTTTGCAACTCTCAAAATCAAATCACCTCCAACAATGAAAGGTTGGAGGGGAAGTTCACCGCGATGGAGGAAATGATGAAGAAACTACTTGAAATGAAGACCAATCCGGCGACATTGGAAGAAAGGGACACTACCGACGGCCATCGCATGAGAGGAAATCCGAACCTCTTGAGGGGGAGGAGAAATTCGAAGGTGGAGATCCTGGAGGAGGAAAACGACCTGCCCCCTCTAGAACCGCTTTCTAGAGAGGAGATGAGTAGGGGATACGACCAACGGGAGGCTGGTTTGATCGGAAGGAGGGAAGAATTCAATCGCCGAGGTGCTGAATTTGAAAGAATCCAGCGTCAAGGTGCTGAATTTGAAGGGGGAAGGGAAGATCGCCGAGGTGCTGAATTCGAAAGGATTCAGCGTCGAGGGGCTATTTTTGAAGGAAGAAGGGAGGAACGTCATCGTCGAGGTGCTGAATTTGAAGGAATTCAGCGTCGAGGTGATGATTTCGAAGGAAGAAGAGGTGAGTATGAAGAGGGATTCGAATATAATCGTCGGAGGGATGATCGGGACACTTCGGGGACTATTCCCCTTCGAGGAATGGGAGGTTATGGAGGGTACCAGCCGAGGAACCTGGGAAAGGCTATGGAGCTGGCGCAGTTGGTAGAAGATCAGAAGAAAGCAGAAAGAGGGGCCCGAGAAAACTGCTCAGGGGGCTCTTACAGGACGACGATCACTCTTCTAGCACCCAAGGGGCCTGCATCAGGCAACAGTAATGAGACCACCCGGGGAGAAGCCAGTAAGAGGAGGGAGTGGGGAAAATTTCAAGAGGCTGACAGAGAAGGAGATGCAGGATAAGAGGATAAAGGGATTGTGCTTCAGATGTGATGAGAAGTACATGTCAAGGCATAGGTGCAAGGATCGAACTCTTCAGGTTCTCCTTGTCTGTGAAGACAAGGAAGACGAGGAGGGAGGTGGGAGCAAATCTGGAAAGGAAAAGGAGAAGTTGCACCTGGATGTGGCAGAAGTCTCTCTAAACTCTGTAGTGGGATTCACTCTGAGTCATACTATGAAAGTGAAAGGAGAGATAGCTGGCCATGAGGTGGTGGTGCTAATTGATAGTAGGGCTACCCACAATTTCATTTCCACTCAGGTCGTCAACCAACTGTGAGTAAAATTGGTGGACATCGGTTGTTATGGGGTGATGATGGGTACAGGGAAGGTGGAGAAAGGCCAGGGAATCTGTAAAGGAGTGGTGTTGACCATCCAGGGGATTCAAGTAAGGGAGGACTTTCTCCCACTAGAGTTATGAAGTACTGATGTCATCCTGGGGATGAAGTGGTTGCAAACCTTGAGGGAAACCCAGAACAATTGGGGAGCACTCACGATGGAATTAATGGTGGATGGGAGAAAGGTGGTTATAAGGGGAGATGCAGGGTTATCCAAAGCCATGACATCACTTAAGACCATGGTTAGGAACATACAAGAGCTGGGGGAAGATTATGTGGTGGGACTACACAGGTTGGATGCGATCAGATTGGAGGAGGGAGGGGATGTTTCTCTTTCTGCGCGGCCCTTGGTTCAGCAAGACAGTAAGGTTTTTCAATCACCTCAAGGATGATCATCTTCGCAGAAACATGAGTATATTTCCACCTTGAGGATAAGGTGGATCTTTGGGAGGGGAGTATTGTTAGACCGGTCCAGCCGGTCCGCACAGGACCGGCAGTTCGCAAAGAGCGACAACTCTCCGCCTCCTGTGGAGATCGAGCGGCCCGACCAGCCCATTAGAGTATTTTAGAAAGCGTTTTTTAGGGCTTTGAGAGGGAAATTTGAATGTATGGACTGTTTAGGGATTTTCTTTTGATTTGTATGCATTAAATAGTTGAATTTCCTAGGGTTTGGGCATCTTGAATTTGGCTGAAATTTGAGATCTCTTAGATTTAGGTTTCCTTGGGCTCTAGCCGCGTCTAGAGATTTGGGAGAGATCGATCCTCCTCTCGAATTGAGGATCAATTGTAACTTTGCTGTTTTATTCATCGTTTATTGGAATACAAGTCTTTTCTTGGTTTTCTCTCAGAATAGTGCTGTTTTTCTGGTGTCAACAGCAGATTTCTGCTGTTTTTTCTGTTCGGGACAGCAACTTTGTCGCTGTTGGATCTTCGATTTGGGTTAGGATTGCTTGCGAACTCAAGTATTACCTTAGGGTTACTTACGAACTCGAGTATTTCCTATCACATAACCATATCAAGACATGTAATAGTACAGGAAAGTGAAGATGAACTTTAGACCCTTATACGTCGTTTGTAGCCTACAATTAATTATGAGCATGCAATAACTACAGTCAATTTGGTTAAATCAGCTTCAAGAAGAGCCTTGAAGAATAACCATTGAGAAGATGATCAAATATTTTGAAGGAATTGGTTCTCATTAAAGCATTTGACATATGATGTACTTTTAAAAGCCTGAAAGTTGGACTTTAATCTATGAAGGAAAAGGTGGAAGTTGCGCATAAATAGGGGTCGCTTACATGATGTGATGCTCCAAACATGAGAAAAAAAAAAATATGTCAAATACAAAAAGCCACATTTGATTCAACTTCTGATATAGGAAAAAAAGATGATCACACCAAAGAAGATATTCTAGTGTAATAGTTAGAAAAGCATATAATTAAAGAAAAAACAAGGCAATAGAAATATTCTTAAGCTCAACTACATACCCTTCAATAGAGATGAAAGCTTATTCAAGTCAGGCCCTTGTGTGTGCTTAACAAGAGGAACTTCAAGACAATGGATGTTAAGCTTCGCCTATAGTTTATTAAGATATTAGGAAAGAGCCAAGTGAAGCAAGAGAGACACCTTTAATTTAAAAAAAAAAAGAATCATCTTTCCAAAATTTCCTGTGCAAGAGCATGAAAAGATGGTATATGCTAAAATCCATTACATGCATTTTAACTACTACATGAAACCATGCCACTATCATTAACTATGAAATGTACAGTCAAAATGAGTATACAGATATAACACATCATATAATTAAAAGTTAAAATTATCCACAATTGGGGATTCTATCCTCCAGAAATTGCTCCAATCTCTCTCACTTACTGCATAAAATACTTCTCAAATTAGTGAATTTCAACCTTCAATACTTTTAAATAACTTATCTACCCAAAAGAAGAACAATGCATATTTCTTCAATTTAATCAGCCAAAAGAATAAACCAATTTTTATTGACTTCCTTCAAAGTCATCGGGTTGACACAAATACACAATAAGGAATTTGATGCAAAAGAAAATAAAACATAATCTCAATATTCCACAGCCTCCTGCAATTTTTAACACCAAGAAATGGGAGAAAAGAACACAGAGGTAGCTGGATTGGAGAAGAGGTTTTTTTCAGCAACGGAGCTAAGGAGCAAACAGGGAGACTTATAAAACAAAGAAAGCAAATATTATTCTTCTCTACTTACGTATATCCTACTAATAACCCATTCAAGGATAGTAGACAGCAAACAAAAAAGGACTAGCTACCTCCGCTAAACCAGAACAAGTGGAGCAGGCATTACTAGTAGAATTAAATAAAGCTGATGAAATACTAAAATGCAGAAAATAACAAATTGAAGGTGGAAATAAGAAAAATGGTCAGGAAATGGAAATAGCTAATGCATTTTCTTTCTTCTTCTGAGACAAAACACTGAACGAAACTAACCAGTGCCGTTTTGAAGCAATTCGAGTTCAAATTGAAATACAACTGATCAAGCTACAATTCTGCCAAAACGCCCCAAAAGATAAAGAGGAAAAAGTGGGAAATTGAAGCGCAAAAATCGGGAAGAGATACAGAAGCAATATATATGAATAATCCGACAAACAAAGGGACCAAGTTTTACATAAATAGCATCGTAATAACGCAAATCAAACACTAGTAGAATCTTCCGAGATAAAATGACGACAGAACCAAGTGGAATTAGAAGTTAAGTGAAAGAAGAGAAAACCCAGGCGACTTCTGTCACTATTTTTATTTGAATAAACATTCAGAAAGAGAAATAAATGAAAAACCAGCAATGCTGTGAGGGGAGAAGATTACTAGAGCATCAATAAGCTTGGCATTCTTCCCCTGCTCTCTGGTGACAACGACATCGGGCGTCGGGCATGATGAGGGAGCGGAAGCTGAGGCGAAGGCACGAAACTTCATCACCGACAAAAGCGAGCGCCTTGGAAAGGGGAGAGAAGAAGAAGAAAAGGAAGAAGGGAGAAGAGTGATATTAGGAACAGGAGAGAGAAGCAGGGAGGACAGAGAACACGTATAAGCCATGGAAACGGGCGGGACGGTGGTGTTTGCCCGTCTTCTCCAAGCAAAGCAAAACCCACGCTTGGGACTCTGATGGGATGAAATACATGTCCGCCATTTTGGTTTATTGCAAATGGAAAGTGCAAAATTTTAATTTATGTAATTGTATAATTATATTTAATTTTTTATATTATTTTATATAAAATTTTTATATTTAATTCACATTAAAATTTATATATTTAAAATAAATTATATATACTAATACTAACTCATACAAAATTTATATTACACATATATCTTGGTTAAATTTAAAAAAGAAAAATAAAGGATGATATTCACTTAATAGTTGTTTAAATCTTAATAGAGAAAAAGATTTGGATTGATCCACCTTTTTTTAAGGACCAAATAATCTATAATTATATAAAAGTATTGTTGCAGAATGGAACATTTGAGGCGGCATAGAGATAAAAAAACTTAATGTATTAGCTTTAAATAAAGATGCAACACACATACAGATAAAAAGAGAGTGGTGTGAAAGTCATAAGAGACACCAATATTTTTAAATGAAAAACCCGAAGAAGGAAAACACGTGAGGTGTGGCTCAATTAAAATGATTTCACTAGTGTTTGTAGTTAAGTACAAATGTTGCCCTTCCTCCGGGAGAGGCCCTTGACTCAATGTATCATATAAAGCACATTACATAGTTGGGGTTGGAAGAATCCAATGATAAGGAAGTCATTCTCAAGAGAACGTAAGCTTGTTCATTTGGTTGACAGGGTGATGGAAGTCAAATAGTTCGTAGTCGGTGGGCAATGTGACGGGTGATGATGATCGATGGGAATTTAGCCAGCGAGCAACATGGTGGATGATGGTGGTTAGAGGGACCGTAGTCGGCAGGTGACGGAGGTCGGAGGGACTGTAGTTGGCTAGTGACGGTTGCCGGAGGGACCGTAATATGCAGGAAATAATGGTTAAAGGGACAATAGTCGGCAGGCGACGGTGGTCGGAGGGACCCTAGTCGATAACCGACAAAGATCTAAGGACCATAGTTTGCACGCAACAGCGGTCGGCAGTTGACTGTGATTTGACAATGCTCCAGCGACAGTCGGCGGCTAGGCGGTGATCCGATAATGGTCGGGCAAAATTCTAACGGTGGTCAGTGGCTAAGCTGTGGTCTGATGGCTATGGGTCGATAACAATCGACGGAAGTTTGCCAGCGTTGGTGCATGGGTGGAACTCTAGATCCTTGAAGCCTCAAAGCCCTCTCCAATCTCCAGCAAAAGGTCCAAGCCCCTAGCCCCCCTTCATGTGAGAAGTAAGGGTATATTTATAGATTTTATAGAGTGGCATGCTCCATAAATATGGAAAAGATTCATGATAAAATCGAAGTGGCCAATCAGATGACTCATCGATTCCCTCAATCATCGAGCATTCATCAAGCATTTAAATGTCATAATAATGTTGGAATCAAGCGTTCTTAGGCTTGTTGGATTTTTCTCATCGAGCCGCTCGATTCGATTGTAAGAATACTATATTTTGATATTATTTGATTATCCAATTTATGATTTGAACCTTCAAAATGTGCTTCGGTTCTTTGATTGGAATCATTTGGGTCAGGATTGGACCGATTTTGGTGTTGTTGGGTTTTTCTCTTTGAGACATTCAATGACTATAAGTTTGATGAAATCAGAGTTTGGATGGTCCCAACTTTAATTTTAAAAGTTTTCAACTTGAATATGCCTTGAAATTTGTCCTCGATCAAGGCAATGTTTGGTGACGTATAAAATATAAATTTTGTCTCTTGATAATTTAAATATGAATCTAATTAGTCTTTTTCCTGGAATCATTTAAATCTTTATTTAAAAAATTAAGAGATAAAATCTTTTAAATAGTTGAGAATCATTTTGATTCTTAATAAAAACTTAGGATACTATTTTGATTCCTATCAAAATCATAATATACTGCCTAGAAGTCTAAACATTAAAAATATGCATACCCTTATATGTTTTAAAATTCATGATAAAATATGCATAACCACTAATATTTTAAAGACTCAAACAACATGTACACAGATGTAAAAGAGAATCTTAGCTCAATTGCTTTAAAAAAATGAGTTCTAAGATGTAAAATCAATACAAAAGAGCTACAAAACTAAATAAAATTCATAATATGTAGCCCATCAGAACAGAGAACTCTTGGAAAAATCAATTACATAAAGAGTTATGCCATCCATTGAATACAACAATAGCATCACTATCAAGCCTTAATCCCACTATGTGAGGTCAGCTACATAAATCTTTTTTCTCCATTGTGTCATAATAAGAGTCAAACTCTCATTTAAATCTAATAAAGAAAGGTTATTTCTAATATTTCCTTGTCAAGTCTTTTTAAGTCTACCTCTACCTTTCTTAACATAAGCCAAATATAATGTGCCTACTCTCCTAACCGACTCATCAGAAGGCTGTTGTTTTGCGTGCCCAAACCATTCGAGGTGACTCTCTCTAATCTTATCTTCCACTGGAGCTACTCCAACCTTTTCACGTATATGCACATTTTGTATCTTGTCTCTAAGAGTAAAGTCACTCATCCACCTGAGCACCCTCCTCTCTGTAACACTTAACTTAATATTATGATTCTCTTTTAATGGCCAACATTCTACACTATAAAGCATTGCAGGTCTCACCACCATATTATAGAATTTTTTCTTAAGTTTGAGGGAGACTTTTCTATCACAAAATAAGCTCGATGCATTCCTTCACTTCAACCATCCAACTTGAATTCTTCTAATGATATCCACATCTATTTCACCATCATTATGAGCAATAGATCCAATATATCTAAAACGTGTACTCTAATTAATAATTTGATTTCTCAAAATTATAATCTCCACCATCAAAACATTCATAATGTTTAATACATTATTAAATCATGAAACAAAATCTATAAAATAAATTTAACTATATATGTTTTTAACATTAACAGTTTTAAATCAACATGAATAATTGACATAAATTCATCCATTAAGATCTTGAATTTATCATTTTATGCAAAGAGAGATGCAAATAATTTTCATAAAATTTTATCAAATTTTAAATCAATAAACATAATTTGTTTTATTAATGAAATTATTTCACATACAATATCAAATGGCCATGACAATATAGTAGTAAGAATTTAAAGAATGTAGTGATATAATGCATATATTGCATTTTTAATTAATCAAAATCTATCTTGCACTTATCTTCATGTAAATCCAATTTTTTTTTTTTAAAAAAGCATTCAAACTAATTTTCCTTTTTTATATATCCAACATAAAAAAGGAAAGAATTGACAGATCCCTATATTTGCATTTATCATGATCAAATCATTGAGAATTTAATTAATTTGAAAAATATGAATTGTAATTTTATTGTAAATAATATTAGTATAAATAGCACTAATTAAGTGTTTGTTTTTAAATAGATAAAATGTAAATATTTATTAAAAAAAAATACTATATATGTATTTCTCTTTCTTGTCAGCTGAAAATCTTATCACATGTCATTTAAACTTATGAAGTGTGGATGCTAACTAGTTTAATTGTTAAAGATCACATTGCTAAGACCTTAAAATTAAAATTTTCTTATATTTATTTATGCTTTAACATCCAAAATCTTCCCAAAATAGTAAAGAACTTGAAGCTGATGTCCTAATTAAGGCCTCGTTTGGGACGACTTTCTTATTACTTCTTAAAGTAATTTTTTAGTTAAATTTTTTTAATTTTTATACTTAAAAGTTATTTTAAGAAGCAATAAGTCGCTCAAACAAAACCTAAGGTTCCATTTGGAACAGCTTTTTTACTATTTTTTTGAAATAAATTTTTAGCATAAAAATTTTCAACAACTTTAAATGTGTGATTTATACTTGAATTTGGACACATCACATTTAACTTTTGCAATATATTTATTTACTGTACGAGTACTGCCAAAAAGGTAGATTTGTACTTATTAATATGATAAAAATGAGATTACGAATTTTTTATTTTAATCATCATTATTAAAATTTATAATTAATGCACTAAAATTCTTATTCTCACCACTATTTTTAATGATTTTTTTTGCAATTAAGCAACTTTTTACAAAAACTTTCGAAAAAAATTATTTTTTTCACAGTAGCTTTACAATCATATTTATAAAAAGCTGCAGCCATCCCAAACGGATCCTTAAACCATCCAATTTCTCTTCACTCTCAAACACAAAGAACAATAAAGCAACTGAGATCATAGCTAGAAAAATGGCTATTATTACAAATTATTAATATCAGATAATAAGTTATAGAAGTTGAGCAATACAAACAAGCTACTACAGGCTTTAGTAGAGACTTAAGTAGTTCCAGACTTGAGATGATGAATCAATTCATATATAAGTAACAGCTAACCAGATTGCTAAGTCTAAGCTGATTGCAATGGGATTTCCCATCGTATATTTGCCTCTTGAGGGGTTCTTCACTGGAAGTCAGTAGAAGTGTGTTTCCTTTTGGATCTAGTAACGCAGATGGGTTCCTTTAGCTCACTTGTTGTTGATTCCCAAAAAATGGATAAGAAGCATATGCTGCAGAATACATCATTGGATCATGAGGAGGAATTGCAAGCCCGTAGCCACTGTAAATCTGTGGGCCATAATATAAACCATTCCATGGACTGCTCCGATCAGCTCGCGACTGGCAAACATTAAAAAGAAGAATGAGCTAGTGATAATGGCTTCATGCGCATTGGTCACTAAAAGAGAAGCATAATACTAAGTAAAGTGTTGCAGAGATGAGGATGCTCAGGTGGATGCGTGGTTTTACTCTTAGAGGTAGGATACGAAATAAACTTATATGTGGAAAGGTTGGAGTAGCTCCAGTGGTAGATAAGATTAGAGAGAGTCGCCTTAGATGGTTTGGTCACATAAAACAGCGGTCTTCCGATGACCCGATTAGAAAAGTAGAGGTATTAGATTTGAATTATGCTAGGAAAAGTAGAGGTAGACCTAAAAAGACTTGGTTAGAAAATATTAGAAATGATCTTTCTTTATTAGATTTAAACGAGAATTTGACTTTTGACAGGACACAATGAAGAAAAAAGATTCATATAGTCGATCCCATGTAGTGGGACACAGGCTTGATGTTGTTGTTAGGTAGTATAAGTCTATGACATGATACAAGAAGCTTGTTGGCATCAATGATGCCTGATATCAAGAAGAGAAATTGGGAAGGAGAGTGAGAGGAGAAGAAAGATGGGTTGTGAACAATGAACCCTGGGTTTGAAGCCGTGCTGCTTAAATTTATTTAGCTACCAGGATAAAAAAATAGCATAAGGCTCTTATAATGAATAGAGGGTAACTTCTCATAATCCTCTCCATGATGGCTAGCATTTGCAGTGAGGCAAAAAATATCTCCTATGGTTCCATATGATGTATATATGGATAATTCGGTTGTTTCAAACTTCCACAAAATTGGGCCCTGGGCTTGAACAACTTTGGTCGAACTTGGGAGTTGTAGAACCAATAAGTAAATTAGCCTACAAGAATATGAAGGTGAGCTTTAGGCTCAAGGGCCTTTGGGAGAGGGCCAACGAAATCTTTCCCTCACAATGCAAAAGATCATGAAGTTCAGGTGCAACCATTGGATTCGTTAAGTACTAGATAAGCCCATGGCACTAGCAATTCATATACTTAGAAAACTTCCTATGTTTTTTTTTTTTTTTAATCATGGATTTGTAAGTATGCACAGTGGAGTGGCTACCATATTCTTAACATATCTCCATGAGCTCATCATCTTCGCGTGTGCCCAAGCCATTTCAAGTTCTCATCAAAGAACCACTTATTGTAAAGCAAGTATTCAACAATGAAGTACCTATCCGCCATCTTCTTCAAGCATTGAACCTCCTTCCTATCAGATAGGGCTCTTTTCTTCAAGAGGTTGAAGATCGGCATCATTCAGATTTCATCTAAGCCGTTCTCTATCGTATACAGCTCTCTTATGAAAGGAACCTACAACTTTCCGATAGAAGTTACATTGGGGTTTTCATACTTAGCCAATAGGTTGACTAACTAATTTTTCTCCCTCGACAAATGCTCCCTTGGAATTTCTCAAATTCAAAGATGTCAATTTTTTTTACTTTGGTGAGATAGAAAATCATGATCTACTTTTTGATTGTATAGAAAATCATGATCTACTTGTAGAGCTGGGAGTTGCTGTTAGACTGGTCCATGTGGGATGGGCCCAGGCGCGGACAGAGGAACGATTCTCCGCCTCTGGCGCGTGCCACGGAGGCCGCAAGCCTTGCGGGAGCCAAATTGGAAAGATTTTTGGGGGATTAAGAGGGAAATTTGAATGTAGGGACTGTTTAGGGATTTCCTTTTGATTTGAATGCATTAAATACTTTGTTTTCCTAGGGTTAGGGCATCTTGAATTTGGCTGATTTTGGGATCTCTTAGGTTTAGGTTTTGGATGCTAGATTCATATAGATATTGGGAGAGATCGATCCTCCTATCGAATAGAGGATCACTTGTATCTTATTGTTTTCTTCCGTTAGTTGATTTCTTGCAATAAAATATACTGCTTTCCTTGATTTTCAATGGAGTTTGGAAGATTTTCTCGCTGTTTTCCGAAGATTGATAGGACATACTTGAAATCTACAAGTGTTTCGTATCAGTTGCTTTTAACCAAAAGCTATTATGTGTATGCTTCCATGTTCCTCCTCCTTTGGTGCCCAAAAATATTTTCTATCAACCTTTAAGAAGTAGTCACCATGTTCATTAGCCTGAAGGGAATGGGCATTTAATGATACATCCCTTTTCATGTTCTGAAAATCATCATTTTCTCATGAGTGGGATGCCCTTAATCCTCAGAAAACTCAAAAATGCATCATGGAGAGTCTGAAATCCGATCGATAAGTTCACTAGTGAATTGAAGATCTACAAGGTATAGGAACCCGAGGTAAGCTATATCTAGGTTTACGAAGTCGACGAACATGCAATACTTCCACTTGCTTTCTTTGCCATCACCGCCTTGGAGATCTAGTTCAGATAATGAACTTCCTAGATTACTTCTACATGAATAGCCATGATCAATGGGATCTGTAAATCAGTTATCACTATAACAATTGTTAGACACAAAGAAAGTTATCAAAGGCTAGTTTGATAGGGCGCTTCAAAACCCAGTAAGGTCATTTTTGCTTTCTCTGAAAAAGGAGAATGGATGTAAAATTTGAAAAATTGAATATGATTTAGAGGCTGTGCTACCTGCTTATTTGCTGGGTTGCGGCCCCACGACAGGCGCACTGCCTGCTTTCCAATAAGCGTTCCATTTAAAGAATGCAGTGCTTCCTCAGCATTATTCCTGACAAAAGATCCAGAAACAATCCATTAACATCGCATAGAAACAATTTGAAAAATAAATATGATTGTTCAGCTTCTTCAAAATTAGATTTTGGGACGGGTTTTTAATTGATTCTTAAAGCAGCTTTTAAATATAAAATTTTTTAATTTTATACTTAAAAGCTGCTTTAAGAAGTATTAAAAAAGCTGTCCCAAACGAAGTTTTAGTTGAGAGTTTAAAGACAACATACCTATGTACAAATTGCACAAATCCACATTGTTTTCCAACCGGAATTTTCACGGAAATAATATCTCCATACTGAGAAAAAGATTCCCTCAATTCATCTTCACTAACACAAGGGTCTAGCCCACCAACAAATACCTGAAGCAGAAATAAATCTTCAACAATGCATATTTATAAACGATGATTTCAAACATAAAACTCTCAGAAGAATTATTACTGTTGTATTTGTTGAATCCCCATCAGATTGAAAACCTTGCGCAGATGAACCGTTGGAACCAAAACCACCTAATGACAATTGTAATTGGAATTATGAAAGTAAAGAACTATAACCGACTCCATGTATAATGAACAAATCCATTGACAAATACTTATATGCTAATAGTTAAGGTTTTATATCCCGCATATTTTCCTTTAGTTAAACTTTTAGAGTGCCACTTTTCTAGAATGGCTTCGTGCAGTAGAAAAGGAGGAGGGGGAAACTGAAACTTAATTTTTCAAAGCAAAGAAAATTTGAAGCTCAACCAAGATTAAAAAGGGCAGTTTGAAGTCAAATCGAATTCGAGGGAATGAACTCGCAGTTCCTAAAATACAGTTAGTGGTTCTTGCCTATAAGCTCAAGTTTTTGGATTACTGAGAGTCCAATCATTAGCATATTGGGCGTAATTTGAGTGACTCCATTCTCTTTAAAGCTAATGGTTCAACTGAAATCAACTACTCATAGCTTCTACAATAGCTCAGTGAGGCTCAATAGTGGATGAGCACCACAAAGACTCACCGTGTTTAAATGTGCTTAGAGTTTTGGATCATTCAAAATAGCTCCAAGTATGAATCAAATTTAGCAAAGAAAAACAAACATACTTTACTATTGAAAGAATCAACAATAATAATGTAGCAAGAAAATAATTAACGTAAACCATGAAAGATAGAATTTGTGATGATGACATCGTCAGATATTTCGACACATGTACCTTCAGGAGACGCCGGAGATCAACGGCCACGATCATGAGTTTTATTTTGAGTCATTTTATGTAGTAGTTTATTTGATTTTTATGTTTTTCCGTTTTTGTATCGACTACCTAATGTAACCCTTCACTTACAAAAACAGTTATATATGCCTACATATCTAAACTAAGGATTTGGAGTATTATAACTCCACAACTAGAGGGAGATGCCTAGACTGATTTTCCAACACTCATAAAGAGTACCAGCCTTGAAATACTAGGGACAAATCGTAGGATAGTTATTATGGTCTTACGGATATAGACTAATAAGCAAAGCCTTGACAATTCACAACATAAGTAATGAGAGATCATTGTCCGTCATCATCACACAGATTGCAATGATTGGTTTTCATTTTAAAGCAATATTATTAACATCAGAATGCTTTAACAATTCCACAAATGAATTGCAAAATTTTAAGGTTAGGATTTAATCATCAAAGCTAATTTAAAAATCCAATTTAAACTATTTAATATGTCATTTAAATTGTAAAAAAAAATTAAATTAAATTACAAAAAAATTTAAATCTCAATTTTATTTTATGAAATTAAAAATTTTATTTTGAATTATCATTTTTTCTGTTTAAATTTATATTTTAAAGTTTAATTAATTATTTCTTTAAAATTTTATCCGATTTCAAAAAGCTATGATAATTCATGATAAAATTTGGTCAGCTTAAGTTAATATTACTTGATTTTTTAGTTTTAAATTATAAATTTGGAATTTTTATTATATGTTTTAATCATTTTAAATAATTTAGAACAAAAACTTATGATTTTCAGAAAAATATTATCAATTTTTTTTAATTTATTGTTTTCATTAACAAGACACAATGGAGAAAAATGATTCATGTAGTCGACCCCACATAGTGGGATAAAAGCTTGATGATGTTGTTTTTGTTGCATTAATATATATATAAGGCATCATCTGTTACTAAATTAACAAATTTAAGAAAAATTATTTAAATTTTTTTAAGAATATAGATAATTTGGACATATATTCTCTAATTTAAATTTAACTTATTAAAGTTAAAATAAGATTTTATGTTATTTTAATAATTTAAATCTCATGGAAACCTTAGGTTAGGAAAACCCCGACATCCTATGGCACATTTAGATGACATCTAGGAGCTCAGATCTAGGACTGGGCTTACACTTATAACTTACACTAACACATAGACTCCAAGTTAGACTGACTAAACTCTAGGTGAACATGTACACCTTCTTGACAATGACTTGCACACATTTTTCATTTTGCACATTTAGACAAAATTACGAGTAGATGTAAAAACAATCCTAACAAATGTAATATTTATTTGATGTGGCACTTGAAAAAATGCTTTTATTTATGCATTTTGAATGGGAAAATGTGCAAATTCATAACACCTATGTGGTATAATATGTCTATATGTTTATTCAAAATCATAGAATACATCATAATATCACGGTGATATGACATTAAACACATTTTTTTCATATTTAGTATCATGCTACCACACTGTGATGCATTTTATGTGCTCATACTATTGGATATCCATAACTTTGTGTTTTGCATAGTACTTATTTATCATGCTGTGCTATAGGTTGTGTTTAGAAGTAAAAATGCACTTACATAAATTAATTTTTTGCATTAAATAGATTATTTTTTTAACCCACTCTAGATCATAAGACCGCAATTTATGCTAATTGTAAAGGTTACAAGCACAGTCATGAAAGCAGATAGCCGCTTAGCACATTGGTGACTAAAAAAACTTTTTAGCCAAATTACATTACCAATGAAAAAAAATCTATATCTACAAATGTTAAAAAAACACATTTTAACCAGTAAGAGTGCCACTTAGAAGATCTTAACAAAAGCAAAATAAACTTGGCTTACTTGACTTTCTAGGAGTTGCAGCACCAATGCGCATCGGTCTACTGGAGCAATATACACCACTCATTTCAGTCATGGCATTTGTTTTCTCACTGTCATCTCCAAATCTGACAAACCCATAACCTTTAGAGCGGCCAGTGTTTGCATCAATAACAACTTTGGCACCTTTTACTGATGGATATTTGTTAGCAAAAGTTTCTTGCAACATGGAATCTGTAACATCAGGAGCTAAATCTCCCACAAATATGGAATGATCAGAAGTAGCATCTGAACGCTTGTCACCCATGCTAAATGATGCCCAATTTAACCGGAAAGGGTGCTCTGCATTTGGCATTATATGACCATTGAATGTTTTCAGTACTTTTTCAGCTACAGAACGAGAACAAAATTCCACAAAACCATAACCCTCTGACTGTCCAGTCAGCTTATTTCTGATAACTTTTATAGAAACCAGCTGCACAAAGATCATAACGAAAAGAGATTAATGAACTCGGACTTTATCTTTAATGGTGTGGTCAATAAGGCTCAACATGAAGCAATGCTTTCCGAATGAGAGAGATTTCCCAAGTAAGAGCAGCTAGAACCTAAGTTAACTGATTGTTTCCTAGTTAAAACATATAAGAAACGCAGAAAATATATAAATTTTAGACTGCATAAAAGATTTAGAAAAACATTATGCACTAAAGTAGATGAAGGAATTTATCAATAATACATCCCTTCTTAAAATTACAAAGTAATTTTTCTTCTAATCACAGACCTAGACTTAAACACAAAACCAAAAATAAAAAATAATAATAATAATAACCATAAATAGTCTTACAATTGAAAATCATTGATGGAGCATTTCATAGTTAATGCACAATAACAAATTCAGGTAACAATTCACCAGCAATACATCCATTTCAGATTTTTAAAACAGGAAAATCTACTTGAAAAAAGACATGTAATAATATCCTGGCTTGTATGTAAGATGGTGATTAGACCTGCAATGCTTTATGGCGCAGAATGTTGGCCATTAAAAGAGAAGCATAATTTGAGTTAAGTGTTGCAGAGATGAGGATGCTCAAGTAGTCAAGTGGATGAGTGGTTTTACTCTTAGAGACAGGATACAAAATGAGCATATACATGAAAAGGTTGGAGTAGCTCCAGTGGCAGATAAGATTAGAGATAGTTGCCTTAAATAGTTTGGTCACATAAAACGGCGGCCTTCCAATGACCCGGTTAGGAGAGTAGATGTATTAAATTTAATCTATGTTAAGAAAGGTAGAGGTAGAACTAAAAAGACTTGGTTTAAAAAAGGATTCATGTAGCCGACCTCAAATAGTGTGATAAAGACTTGTTGTTGTATGCATGATACACTGGATGATTTCCCATAAAATGTTAGTTTCAAGGCAGCTTAAATCTGTTTTACTACTAAAACTGGGCTTGAAATTTAATCCAGTTAACATATGGACCACCCTATACTTTAACAAATCAAAACTCACTCATTCATTTTAAATCCCAAAATCTGAACCATTCAATTCATTTAGATACTAAATATCCATTTTAAATCCAGTTATTTTCACGTCAGATTAACCCTTCCTCACGCATTATCACATTTAATGGGTGCAACTTTTCACTCACATGCAGCTTCCAAAATTACTTTTTTGAGTTTTTCCAATAAATAAACTGGTTCTACTCTTTTCATTCACATGCAATTTCAACATTTTCCTTCACATCAAATAGTCTATAAAATGCAATTTTTGTCGCCTGCCTCCTCTTTTTCCAATGACAATGCGAATACAAATTACTTTTTGCTGGATGCGGTTGCATAAAAATACTGCTTTCCAAGATTTGATTTTGGTTTTTAGATTCCTTTTATTCTCTGCAATATACTTTCTTCGCTTATTTTGTTTTTTCAACATTACATAGCCACAATGCTTACAATGTTTTAGCTTTTTATTATTTCTTTGCACCTAATCCCCTATATATTTTCTCCCTGTAATAATGTTAGACCGGTCCAGCCGGTCCACGCAGGACCGGCCCAGGCGCAACGAGGCGGAAGCCTCTGCCTCCCGTTTCAGCCGCACGCCCTGCCTGGTTCAAACAGAGCCATTTAGGAAGGATTTTTGAGGGATTTGTGAGGGAAATTTGAATGTAGGGATTGTTTAGGGATTTCCTTTTGATTTGTATGCATTAAATACTTTGTTTTACTAGGGTTAGGGCATCTTGAATTTGGCTGAAATTTGAGATCTCTTAGATTTAGGTTTTCTTTGGGCTCTAGCGGAGTCTAGAGATTTGGAGAGAGATCGATCCTCCTCTCGAATTGAGGATTAAGTGTATCTTGCTATTTTCTGTTTTTCTTTCATCAAATAATACAAATTATCTACTGTTTTCATGATTTTGTGCGGACTTTTGTGAAGAATTCTGGCTGTTTTAGAAGATTGATAAGAAATACTTGAGATCTACAAGTGTTTCCTATTAAATTGGTATCAGAGCAAATCTTGGGACCATTCGTGGACTGATTTTGGCGAAGTCGGCGGCTGATTTTTGGTCGGGAAAGGACGAAGTGCTGTTTTTGTAATCCAAATCTGGAATTTTTGGATTTACAAAAGTTCGGATCGAGATGGAGGCCAAGAAAGTTGATGTGCTAGAAGAAAGGCTTGACGGGGAGATGAACAAAATCAAGACAACGGTGGAGGAAAGGATTTCCTCCATGGAAGGACAAGTAGCCGATCTCCGGGACATGATGAAGAAAATGTTGGAAATCCACAACCAAATGGCAGCTTCCGTGGCAAAAGAGGAGGAAAGAAAAAATACGAATTCTGAAATTCGTAAAGAGGAAGATGAGGTGGAAATTGTGGAGGAAGAAAGAAGGAACCCTATCTGGAGTCTTTCTAGAGGGAGGATAAAGGAGGAAGGTATGGGGAAAGGCATGGGTATGGAGGGACGGAGCAAATGGGTGTTGATTGGGAATGCCGGGAGGGACATTATAGTTGTCGAGGTGCTGATTTTGAAGGAAGAAGAGGGGAATTTGAAGGGGGTTTGGGCTATGGCAGGGCAAGAGAAAACCGGGAGACGTGGGGTGGGCCAAGCACATGGGAGAGGGGAAACTATGGAGGAATAAGGGGGAATGGTGGAGATCAGAAGGTGAGAAAGTTGAAGATGCCTATCTTCGAGGGGGAGGATGCGTAAGGGTGGATCTAAAAGGTGGAAAGGTACTTTGCTGTTAATGGGCTAACGGAGGAGGAGAAACTGACAGCAGCATGCCTATGTTTGGAGGGGAAGGCACTGTCAATGTACCAGTGGAGAGACTAGAGGAGACCTATCAGGAACTGGAAGAAATTCAAGAACTGCATATTATAACGTTTTTAAACCGACCGGGGAGGAGATTTCTATGAGCAATTATTTACTCTGACACAGGAGGGATCAGTAACAGACTACTCGGAGCAGTTTGAGCACCTAGCCAAGAGGGTGGAGCGATTATCAAATACGGTATTGGAGGGAAACTTCATGAAGGGATTGAAGGCAGAGATCCGAGCGGCAGTGAAATTTCTGATGCCTAGTGACTTGGGGGAGGCCATGAAGTTAGCACAACTGGTGGAAAATTAAAAGAATCTGGAGAAGAAAGCCAGGAGCAGCAGCTCAGGAGGCTCTTACAAGACTACGACCACTCTTCTAGCACCCAAAGGGCCTGCCTCAGGCAACATTAATGAGACCACCAGGAAAAAGCCAATAGTAGGAGGGAGTGGAGAAAATTTCAAGAGGCTGACAGAGAAGGAGATGCAGGAGAAGAGGACAAAGGGGTTGTGTTTTAGGTGCGAGGAGAAGCATACCCCAGGGCATCGGTGCAAGGACCGAACTCTTTAGGTTCTCACCGTCTGCGATGATTAGGAAACTGAGGGAGGTGAGGAGGAGATGGAGGAGAAGCTAAACTTGGATCTGGCTGAGGTTTCCCTAAACTCAGTGGTAGGATTCACTACGAATCATACCATGAAAGTGAAGGGGGGGATAGAGGGCAGGGAGATGGTGGTGCTAATTGATAGTGGGGCTACCCACAATTTTATTTGCACTCAGGTCGTAGACCAATTGGGAGTGAAATTGGTGGACACCGATTGTTATGGAGTGATGATGGGTACATGGAAGGTGGAGAAAGGTCAGGGGATCTGTAGAGGAGTGATGTTGACCATCCAGCGGGATTCAGGTAAGGGAGAAATTTCTTCCACTAGAATTACGAAGTTCTGATGTCATCCTAGGAATGAAGTGGTTACAAACCTTAGGAAAAATCAAGGACAACTGGGGAGCACTCACGATGGAATTAATAGTGGATGGAAGAAAGGTGGTTATAAGGGGAGATGCAGGGCTATCCAAAGCCATGGTATCACTTAAGACCATGGTTAGGGGCCTTCAAGAGGTGGGGGAAGATTTTCTGGTGGGACTACACTGTAATATCAAAATCTGCTCCAGGATCGTCCAGGACGATCTGGGATCGTCCTGGGACGATCAGTTGAGAATCTGCTCCAGAAATTGCCCAGATTTGTTCCAGGTGTTTTCCTGTAGGCATCGTCCAGGCCGATCGAGGACATCGGCAAGGCCGATTGGCACTGTTCAAAATATCGGCCGGAGAATAGTCCTGGGAACCGTCCAGGACGATCAAAATTGATCTGATCGTCCCGGGACGATCTGGCGATCGGCCGGGCCGATCTGTGTATTATAAAGCTGAAATCAGTCGTTTTGAATAGAGAGAAAATCAAAATAAAATATCTGATTTTTCTGAGGAGTGAAGAATTCTGGCTGTTTTAGAAGATTGATAAAAAATACTAGAGAACTACAAGTGTTTCCTATTAAATTGGTATCAGAGCAAGTCTTGGGACCGTTCATGGACTGATTTTGGCAAAGTCTGAGGCTGATTTTTGGTCGGGAAGGGACGAAGTGCTGTTTTTGTAATCCAAATCCGGAATTTTTGGATTTACAAAAGTTCAGATCGAGATGGCGGCCAAGAAAGTTGATGTGCTAGAAGAAAGCCTTGAAGGGGAGATGAACCAAATCAAGACAACAGTGGAGGAAAGTATTTCCTCCATGGAAGGACAAGTAGCCGATCTCCGGGACATGATGAAGAAAATGTTGGAAATCCACAATTAAATGGCGGCTTCCGTGGCAAAAGACGAGGAAAGAAAAAATACGAATTCTGAAATTCGTAAGGAGGAAGATGAGGTGGTATCGTGGAGGGAGAAATAAGGAAACCCTATCTGGAGTCTTTCCAGAGGGAGGATAAAGGAGGTAGGTATGGGGAAAGGCATGGGTATGGAGGGACGGAGCAAAGGGGTGTTGATTGGGAATGACGGGAGGGACATTATGGTCGTCGAGGTGCTGATTTTGAAAGAAGAATAGGGGAATTTGAAGGGGGTTTGGGCTATGGCAGGGAAAGAGAAAACCGAGAGACATGGGGTGGGCCGAGCACGTGGGAGAGGGGAA